TCATTGTTCCTAATACCTTTTTCCCTATCGTCTCCTTTCTTGTTCGCCCGCTCAGCCACATACCCGATCACACCCACTTATTCATATAGACTCTCACTTTCACATAAGTAGGCCCTATGTTTCCATTTCATTTCCCATAGCTTTGCTTCGAAAAATCTTCTTGATTTGGTGTTAATTTAAGACATCAACTAAACTGATTGCCAGCTCTTATAATATTTTTTCTGTTACGAACAAAGTTTCACCACATTTTCATCCGGAACCGGTGATGATGCCTCATGGCTGCAGAACAACGGGAAGCCGACGTCGCTCGAACTTCGAATCTCATCTTCATGCATTTTAACATGAAATGAACTTCTTCACAACCATTATAGAAACCAAAACTGACAACATTTATTGAAGATACGAAGACCAAATTGGTGTCGCATTCTCCCACTTCTAGCAAAATGTATGATTGTGGCAAACACTCCAATTCCAATCCGTTACCAACTTTAAGTGAGATAAGGTGATAAAGTCTCATCTCCGAGAAAGTCTAAGTCTGAGTTCTAAAAGTTTTAGCACCCCGAACTGCTTCTTTAACGGGACACCAAACTCCAGACGCTTTAGTGTTTCTACAGGACAGAGGTGTCCGGACCGGTGACCAAGAGTCTGGGCTGGCATAGCACAAGCGAGAGTTAGCGACTCCATAATCCAACACTTTGAGAGAGTTTGTTGGTGAGGCTGGTGGTGTTGTTGGTAGAAATGATGATAGCGATGTAGATGGCGATGCTGATGATAGTGATGTCGAGGAAAATGTCAACGGAGGTGATGATTTTGACGTAGGTGAGAAGTACTGGGATGAAGATTATGATTGTATTGATGATGCTGAGGATGGTGATGATGATGATGATGATGATGATGATGAGCATAAACTGCCAACTTAGCACCCAAAACTGACTTGGGCAATTTATAACACATGTACAGAGCTGTATGCTATGATCAAGATACATCTTTAGCCTGGTAGCAAATATGGGATATAAGATAATATTCTGAACCTATTTTACATTTGACGAATACTCAGCTTCGGATAATTTACGACATGATGTGTCCATTTATTAGACTGTTTATTTTCCAAATTCATTTAAATACTGTTAAATGGAGAGGTCAAAAAAAGCAAATCACATAGTGGCTACTGGAGATGATCTCGGCTTGCCTATCGCTTCCGTTTTTGAATTGTGCCAGATCAGTTGAAAAATGCAAAGCTAAACAAGCTATAAAACCAGCTTAATATGGAATATTTTGAATGTTAATAAGAAAGATAAAAAGGTATGCATGATTGATGAAATTGCCTTCTAAATGAAGGAGACGTCCCTAGTTTTAATTAATTTTAGATTTTCTACACTTATACTTAG